AGTGATGCCAAACTGCATTAATTCTGTAGTGTAGATATATCCTAAGAAAGTACCCAAGTTCTTTTTGTAATTAGCAGCATTTTCTTCTGGCCAGAAAAGGAACTAGGTGTCATTTTGCTGGTGTCATTAAGGACCTGGAGTAAGTTACTTTTAACAGAGGATTAAGGAAATGTGATATACAGCCAATATTTTTTGTAGAGAGAGATATTCTTTGTAATGCATTGTTCCCACTCATGTGTGGTTTTGTAGTTTCCAGCCTATTTTTATTGTGGGCATTAAAGGGAAGGAGAGTGAGTTAAAAGGGAGAGGACTACTCTGAGTGAGTCAGGAGAGCTATTATGTTCTTCCTTTTGACTACTTGGAAAGCAGTTTTGCTAATTTGTTGTAATTGCTGCTTTTATCGAGTGTACAAAAAGTAACTGTTGTGTGGAAACTTGAGAGGTAAATTAGTCTATTTTCCTTGAATATCCATAAGCAGTCCTCTCACCTTTCTCAGATGCATCGAACTAGTCTGAAAATTTATTAAAAGGTACAGCTGAGGGTTAAGTAGACTGAAACTAAAGAAATCAGATGGCTTGCTACATAAAGAAAATACTATATAGTTGGCCTTCCACATTTGCAAGTATAATTTTGTGGAATTGGATTATTTTATTTTTATTAATATGGTTTCTCTAGTAATATCTAGGTAGTGTGACTATGTGGTCAATCTTTGCCATGGTGTTGTGCCGGAAAACCTAGAGTTTCATAAGGAGAACCTTTCTCTAATAAGCCACTCTAAACACCTTTGCAGAAGCATACAAGAAGGTGAGCCTCTCATTGAACATCGAGCAAACCAAAGTGGTCTTCCAGCAGTCACCAGTCAATCCCTCTGCAATGTCAGAAATACAGCTTAATGGTATAACATTAGAAAATGTTGACCATTTCCACTACCTTGGCAGCCACCTCTCCACAAAAGTCAATGCTGACACTGAAATGCAACACTGTCTGAGCTCTGTAAGTGCAGCATTCTTCCAAATGAAGCAGAGAGTGTTTAAGGATCCAGACATTGTAGGGAGACCAAGGTGCTTGTTTATAAAGCTTTTGTTCTCCCAACCCTGCTATACACCTGTGAAATGTGAACTGTCTACAGACGTCACACTCAACTCTTGGAATGATTCCATTAGCGTTGCCTCTGAAAAATCCTGCAAATCTCTTGGGAAAATAGGTGGACAAATGACAACATGCCGGAAGAATCAAAGACCACCAGGATTGAAGTGATACTCCTACACCATCAACTCTGCTGGACTGGCCATGTTGTCCAAATGCCCAATCACCATCTCTCAAAGCAGTTACTATACTCCAAACTCAAGAATGGGAAACATAACATTGGTGGACAGGAAAAGAGATGCAAAGATGGGCTTAAAGCCAATCTTAAAAACTGTGGCATAGACACCAAGAACTGGGAAGCCCTGGCCCTTGAGTGCTTTAACTGGAGGTCAGCTGTGATCATCAGTGCTGCAGAATTTGAAAAGGCATGAATGGAGGATGAAAGGGAGAAATGTGCCAAGAGGAAGGCGCATCAAGCCAGCCCTGACTGGAACCACCTTCCACCTGGAAACTGATGTCATCACTCCAGGAGAATATGCGAATCAAGAATAGAGCTCCACAGCCACCTATGGACCCACCACCAAGACACTACACTTGGAGGACCATCATCCTCGGGCTACAAGTGATTGCCTCAGTAAGTAGGTAAATACGGAAGCTCCTTCAGTATAAACTCTGCGGTCAATGTCACACTGGAGGACCTGGAAATTCCTAGAGATGGGTTATCACAAGTAAAAAACAAAACAAAACAGACAAATATGTTTTTAATGGAGGGTTTTTCTACTTTTGCCAAGGTCCTGGGCCCCAAACTCCAATGAATGTGGAGGGCTGATTGTTCTGTTATTCATATTTTGATTTCTGTGATGTACAATAGCAATTATATGAAAACCAAAGCATTTGCTGGACACTAAAAATTACAGAATATGGGCAAATGGAATATGAAATAAATTAGTTCTTTTAGTAAGAGAATTGTTTATAATCTCACTTTAGAGAAGATTAATGAAATAGTTCTTGTAGTGAGAAAATTGCCTGTAGCTCCCCTTTTGAAGGAAGCTGTTAGATTTGTTGACAGACAATCATTTTCTAAGAGATTCTATTTTTGCATTTTGGTATCTTCACTAAAATTATAGCCAGGATGTTAATTTGTTTGTTGGCATGAATTATTGCTATGGCAGCAGCTAAGAAGTGAAATATGATGGGTATTTACCAAAGAAAAAGTTTTTAACTATTTTCATCATGCAAATATGAGTATAATTCATCCTTCTCCCAGTTCATATCTATGCATTTCAGATATTCTGAGTCAAGGAAAAAACTATACACAATCAGGCTGCATTGAATTATGTCAGGAATTCCTTGCAGTTTTCTGACCAATGTGTCATGGTTCAAAAACCCAGCTCAAAGAAATAATACATCGATCAACCAAACACAAAACTGAATACACATGTCTTACTTTTTATCAGTCCATGGGAGTGGTAATACTTATTACTTGTTGTGTTATGGTGGTCCTTAAAAGACTTCTGAAAATTGCAATTAGGTCGTAATGTTTTTTATATCTCCCACCTTATCATTATTGGCTTTCCTAATGAGTAAATACTTTTCATGATATGTCCAAAGTAGGATAGCCTTCTGACTTCATCAGACAGGGGCAAATTCAACTGCATGCTCTGGTTCGCCTTCCCTTTTACGACAGAGCCTGCCTGTTCCCATTACATGACAAGCTGCTACTTCTATCAGGGCTCTGTCCTAAAGGAGAAGGCGAACTGGCACATGTAGCCACATGGGAGGCTTCCTGTGTTGCCTTGGATCAAGCGTGGGGGGGGGGGGGGGGGGGAGAGGGGACCGGGAGGCAGACACTTCCTCCCATGGGATGGGAACATGGGTGAGTCGAGCAATGCAGGGCGTGGGGCAATGTGTTCCCCAAGCCCCCAGATGGGCACTCCCAGAATTGCCATGACCTGTAGCGATTTTGGTGACATGTGTGAAGAGGTCCTCCATTTAGTTAGCAAATTAAAGTTAATCAATGAATGGAATTGAATGAAAAGTAAGAGGTTGGGAGACTGTTGCCTTGATATGAAAGGGGTTTTCTAGGGAGAGAATTCCACCTGTTATGCTTCAGATATTTTTCGGGAAAACATAGTGCTTCAGTTATTTTAACTCCCAAATTATAAAATGGAAACCACACTTGGTCAATGTGTTCTTAGGTCCTGTTGATGAACAATACTGATGTAACTCTCGATTACTGCTAGTGGTTGCACGTTATCCATTCTCACAGAGAAAGTGGTTATCAGGGACAAGATAAGAAGGCTCTTAGTCCCAAATATGGCTTCCAGAGTGTGGGAATTGGTCCTTGGAGCCAAGTGTGCTGGGAAGTTGCCTGATCCATGGGACTGGCATTGTCCAGATCACTCTTTCCAGACGACCTTGCATCTGAGATCCCTCCTCTCCATCAATATGGAGGTGACGAAGGGGGGGGGGGCAGCCGAGGGGAAGAAGGCTTCTTCTTCTGCTAGCGAGGGAGGGACTTTAGGAGCCCATCCACCATCCTCCTCTTCCTCACTTCTAAAGCAGCGGCGGCACAGTTTCAGGCTGACCATTATGTTGTTATTGTCTCCGCTGCCACTGTTTCAGATGAGGAGGAAGGAGAGGAAGAGGAGGAGGACGGTGGGCTCCTAAAGTCCCCCCCCCCCATCTGCTTGCCAGCAGAAGCAGCAGGAGCAGCCTTCTTTCTCTGGGCTTTCCCCCGGCCTTCCTTGCCCCCCCTCCTCCTCCTCCCCTTCTTCCTTGCCTGGGGGCTCCGCTGCTGCCACTGCTGCTTGTTCGCCCCTTCCTCTTCCCCCATGGCCTTGGAGGAGAATGATGAGTAGCAGCTGCAACGGCATTTTAGCCTAGCCTGCGGGCTCCGCTACCACTACTCCTTGTCGTTCTCCAGCCACTCCATTGAGGCAAATGCCAGCCGGCTTTATAGCCTCGCCTCCAGGCTCCATTGCCCCTTGACTCAAATATAAGCCGATGTTTTAAGACAGGGGCTGAAAAACCCGGCCTATATTCGGGTATATATTGTAGATAGTGATGAGCTCATCACTAGAAGACTGGTCATGGTCTACAGCTACCATAATCAAAGTGACTATGTGAAATAGTTGTGATCTTCCTCAGTGATCAATTAAATCAATAAACAATTGTTATCTTCCTCTTGTTATGATAAAGTCACCAGTGTCCATCCCATCCCACTAATTTGATCACTGTTAAAGCAGAGTAGGTTTTAGCCTGGAATGCCATCCAGGTGACCCACGTATCTCCCTCTATGAACCATCTCGGAGATTGACATCATCCAGGGAGGCCCTGCTCTCAGTCCCACCTTCCTTGCAGGTATGACTGGTGGGGACAAGAGACATGGTCTTCTCAGTGGTGGCTTCTCAGCTATGGAACTCCTTTCTCAATGAAATTAGATTAGCACCCTCCCTCCTGGCCTTCAGAGAAAAGTAAAAAAAACAAACAAACCTGGCTATGGGACTAAGCCTTTGGGCAGTAAGCAATATAAGGAATTATCAGGATAATGTGCAATACATTTTGATATTTGGAATGGGCCTGGACTAGGATTGTTGAATTGTGTGATTTTAATGTTTATATTAACATGTTTTTAACTCCATGTTTTAATGTTTTAATGTAGTTGCATTTTTATAATTTAATTGATAACTGTATGGTATTATTGTTTTATGTTAAGCTTTTATATATGTGAGGCATTGAATTTTGCCATATAAATGTTGGAAACTGCTTTGAGTCCCCCCCCCCCCCGAGGTGAGAAAAGCAGTATACAAATGAAGTAAATAAATAAATAAAATGTGAGCAACTTTGATATCTCAAACACAATGAAAGATAAAATAAAATTGAACGGAAAATGTAATTCAAATCTAACAGTCTTGTTTCAAAACACATCTTGGCTTTAATATAAGCATATTCAGAATACAACAAACTTCAGTTTTGGACAATAATTACATTGGACACATTGTTTTGATTTGCACCTTTTTTAAAAAAAACAACCCAAAATCTATAAACTTTACAGAAGTCCACAAAGGATACATGAATACTGGTCAAAAGCACAAGTCAGTCAAAAAAGAACGTATTTCTTATTTAGAAATAATGCCAGATATTACTTTTCTATCTTGCTCAACAAGCACCATGTTACACTGTAAAGCTTCTTCCTGAGTAGACACATGTGTACAATTACTACGCCAAGAGATTACTTATTTTCTTCATTGGTTGTAGTAGTAGTCTTGGCCATAAACATCATACCCATGGCCTTTGTAGTAGCTATATTCATCTTCGTACGCTCTGAAGGTGTCCCCCCGTGGGTATCCATTCTCACTTCCATAGTAGTCTGTCTGGGTTTCATAGCCATTTTCATAACCAGTGGTTGTGGTGGTATCATGAACCCATGGGTCTTCCGTGGTGGTGTCATATTGCCATTGATCTTCTGGGGTGGTCTCAGCATGCCATTGTTCTTCTGTGGTGGTGTCATATTGGTCCTGATATTCTGTGGTGGGGGCAACAGTGGTGAAGAGGGTGGTTGGAACGATGGTGGTGGCCTCATTCTCTTCTTCCTCTTCTTCCTCCTCCCCCTTGCCACCATTTCCATTCTCTTCTGCAGTACTGTTGGTGCTTGTACCATTCACACCATTTCCGTTCTCATCTACTTTCTCCTGTTCTTCATTTTCTTCCTCTTCGTTTTCTTCCTCTTCATTTTCATCACTGTCTTCTTCTTCCTTTTTACCACCCTTTTCCGGAGCTTTGTCCTTTTCAACCTTTTTAGCCCCTCCTTCCTTTCCTGGTTTCCCAAGAGGCTCTTTTTTTACTGGCATCTGGAAAATGAAAGTATGTGTGAGTTATTCCCCAGTAAATGTACCATCAAGGAACTGATTCTGAGAATTTTACAGATCTTGGAAATGTTATGTTGGACTCTAACTTCCCATAGGTACCCAATAACAGCATTATATTGTCCAAGACACAAAAATACAGCACAATAGTATTTTTTGCTGGCCATTTTTTGTCTTAGTCTAGCAACATGAATGAAAAAATCATGGAAAAATTCAGAGGGAAAAAGAACAGGTCTTTCACCCATTTACTTGAAAAGACTTGCTTCCTTGGGAAAGGAAATAAGAAAATTGGAAAACACAGAATAAATTGAATACTTTTTTTAAAAAAAACGAAGACTAAAATGTTTTAAGACAGGTTACTCAAGTTATTCTTTGAAAGATTCATTCAGAGAAGTTTTTCATTTGCATTTGCAAGGTCGACCCTGGTTAGTCCTTGGATGGGAGATTACTAATGAATAACAGAGGCTTCAGGCTATGATGAAGGAATGGGCAAAACTATGCAAGGGGAACAATGTACAGTCAGTCCCCCAAGTAACAAACAAGATAGGCTCTGTAGGGTTGTTCTTAAATTGCATTTGTATGTAAGTCGGTATATTTTTAAGTGCAATTCCAGCCAAATACACATTAGCTTTGGATAGCACAAGTAAAGGTAAAGGTTTCCCCTGACATTAAGTCTAGTCATGTCTGATACTCGGGGATGGTGCTCATCTCCATTTCTAAGCCGAAGAGCTGGCATTGTCTGTAGACACCTCCAAGGTCATGTGGCCAGCATGACTGCATGGAGCACCGTTACCTTCCCATAGAAGTAGTATCTATTGATCTACTAACACTTGCATGTTTTGGAACTGCTAGATTGGCAGAAGCTGGGCCTAAGTAAAGGAGCTCACCCCGCTCTCCAGATTCAAACCACCAACCTTTTGGTCAGCAAGTTCAGCAGCTTAGTAGTTTAATCTGCTATGCCACTGGGGGGGGGGGGGGGCTTTGAATAGCATAGGGAAGGGTTTAATCCCTTTAGTGTTTGTTTTGCTATCTGTGTCACTGATCAGAAGATTTCACTTCACTTTCTGTCCCTGTGATGATTGGATTTTGAGAAAAAATGTCTTGTTGTGGAAAAAAGGATTGGTGATAAAGCTTCAGTTGAAACACCTTTTCCCCCATGTTAACATTTCAGGAGTGAATTTACCTTCTGAGGAGTAGATTTCTCTCACTTCCTGTTGCCTTACCCTGTTCTTTACTATAAGACATTTGTAAGTCAGATGTTGGGAACTCAGGGACTGCCTGTGAACTGTCTTTTAAAAGACAGTGTATATAGGATATGATTACAGCAACTCTTGCCACTGATTTACTTTTTCAATTCTGTCTGGGAGAATGAAACTTCATGTCTGCATGTAACTTTGAGAAACAGAGAAAGTATTCCTTGCCCAAGAAAACCATATGAAATTCATAGAATTGCCTTAACTTGACAAGTGACTTGAAGGTGTAAAGACAAATACTTCCAAGCTCTGGATTTTAGCAAAAGAAAAACCATTGGAATGATAGGAATGAGCTAGATTGCAACTATAGCATAAGAAGATGCCAGGTTTTGAGACTTTGACATTATGTGGCTTTAAAAGTCCTCACATCTTACCTGTTTTGGAGGTTTGGAGTCACTAACACCCTTCTTGTCTCCTGTTGCTGGTTCACTAGGAGCTTCGGTAGCCTCCTCTTTCTCCTGCTCAGCTTCATTTTCTTCATTTGATGGTCCCTGCAGGAAATGAAACACAAGGAACCTCAGAAGTTGTTTTAGTTTACGGCGAATAAAGGCAATGGGATAAACATAAGCCTTTGGGCAATTAGTGTCTTATATGTTGATAGAATGAGTTTCCCACTTTTGCCTTTCAGCTGTATGTCCTATATTTCCTACATTATTTACGTATTTGTGCCATTTCCAAAAAGCTTGAACAGCTTCCTATAGTGAGATACAGTCTATATAGGGTTTATAGGCCATGAACAGATCTTGGAATTGTGTTTGTCAGTCAGTGGGTGCATTAGAAAGATGGTTCTAATGGGCAAGTTTTCCATTTTTGACCTTAATTCAATTAGCTGTAGTAAAAGATTGCAGTCCAGGATACACTAGCATTGTAGTAGTCATCAAACTCACTACCTGGAATTTAAGGATGGATCAAGAAAGTGAACCTGAAGTCCAGCTGTCCACAACCCTGGCATAATGTCATGTTCTGCAGCACAACTCTGGCATTGCTGATGCTCAGACCAAATGAAGTACTTATGTGCTGGTGTAGCATTTCTTCAGATCAGGTGGTTACAGTGCTTAAAATAAGATGTCATTCAATGCCAGTAAAAACCAAAGTTATTTTCCTCTCTATTGCAAAATTGAGCTTGCAAAATTGCATGGTGTCACTGGCTGCTTGGATAACTATCAGAGGACATAACGACCTCTATAAAACAACAATTATAGCCTTGTTTATTTAAATGTTGCTGAAGCTCTGCTGATGTTAAAGTCAGACATAGACAGGAGTAAAACCATTCAATGGATCTGAGAAAGAAAAGGCACCTTTTGAATTTTCTTGAATGATATCTGGATGTTGAACACGTTGAAACTTTGAAACAGAAGCCTCCAGCTGTCTACAACAGTAGCTGTGACTGACAGCTGCTATGGGCATACAGAGAGTGTTCTTAACATTCCTCATAAGGTGCAACTATGCTATTTAAAGCAGTTTGACACCAACTTTACTGCCACGGCTCAATGCTATGTAATCATGGGAGTTGTCATTCAGTGAGACAACCTCACTAATATTCAAATTTGGCACAAATACCAGATACGCCCAAATTTGAATATTCAAATTTGAATATTCAAATTTGGGCGTATCAGGTATTTGTACCAAATTTGGTCCTGTAAATGACAATACATCCTGCATATCAGATATTTACATTATGATTCATAACTGCAGCAAAATTATAGTTATGAAGTAGCAACGAAAATAATTTTATGGTTGGGGGGTCATCACAACATGAGGAACTGTATCAAGGGGTTGCAGCATTAGGAAGGTTGAGAAACACGGGTGTAGAAGGATTAAATGCAAGTAAGTAATTTCTTGCTAGTTCTGCAAACATTTTGAATGTTTTTGTCAGAACCACAAGAGTTGCATTTGTATAAATGCACATTTATACAAATCTGTTTTTAAACCTTTGGCTTCTAAAACCTTGGTCTGTGACTTCAAGGGTTACTTCTTGTTTAGATGACTTGGGATGTAAAAAAAAACTGCATAGACTAGGATGGAAACTTGTGGGCAGTTAGTAATCCTCACCATGGCTACTTGCAGAGTACAGTCTGTAAAAACAATACTGGTTATTTTCTTATGCTCTTTGGTTTATTTTGACCAGTGGCAAACATGTTTCTTACCGCTTCTCCTTCTTCTTCCTCCTCTTCCGAACTGTCTCCACCATAGCCTTCTTCAGATGAGTCACTGTTAAACTAAAAGGAGAGAAAATCCTCAAGCATTTCTCATATATCACAAAATAACAATAAATACCTATATAGAGAAAAGCCATCAAAAACAAGCATGTTATTCCCATGAAGTCATTGTGGCTGATACAGTGCTTCAGAGCCCTGTCATTAGCTGTTTCCTTAATGCAGAGAAATGAAATATGTAAGTCAGGAAACTAAACCTAACAAGATAATTTAGTTCCAAAGATAAGCAATGGCTGCAGCTTTCTGGTTGGTTTGTTTTCATTTTCCCACCCGCTTACAAATGATATGGAGCCAATGTGGTCTAGGGTCGTAATTCTCAGCCTTTGGTTTTCCAGATGTTTTAGATTTCATTTCCCAGAAGCAGCAGTCAGTATGGTTAATGGTTGGGACATCCAAAACATCTGGAAGACCTAAGGCTGAGAACAATTATATTGCCTGTGTTAGAAATAAACCTCAACAATAAAAGTCATTGGGGCAGCTCCTAGTCAGCCACCACCATTACCATATACAGATAAAAAGGGATGGATACCCCAATGTACTGTTGCGATCTCCCTTGGAAAAGTAAGGGCCCATCCGTGCTTTAAAAACAGGAGTTCCCGTTTTAAAAATGGGATGGCTAGACAGCATCAGCATTAAACATGCTGAATTCCTAACAAAGGAAGGAAACCACTGAATAAAAAGATCCCCTTTTATCCCGTTTCTGGCCAAAAGATACACATCTTCATATATCGGTGGGCCCTTCCAGTCAGGCCCTATATCCCAGAATCTAATCCCAGGTTTTCTACATTAAACTGGATTATGTAAGTCTCCACTACCAGATAATCTGGGATAAACAGAAAACCTGGGATCAGATCCGGGGATATAGGGCCTGTCTGGAAGGGCCCTGCGTGACCCCAAATTCCAGAAAACGTGTTTTCCTTTCCTCCCCCCTGTGGAGACTGCTCCAGTTGATGTCCCTTTTTAAAAGCCTGAAACAACTGATCGGCTGATTGGGCTGTCAGCAAATTCAAAGGAAGCACAAAGGAGAGCCATTAGAACTCTCTGAAACTCTTTGTTTTACACTGTATACTATTAAACACTTAAATAAATAATATGGGAAGGAAGAGATCCAATTGATTTTTAAAAAATCACTATTATATGTTGAACCTCATATGCACACATGCAAATATACTTGTATTTATTATATGCGCATGTGCACATATATGGATCAGCACAATCATATTTTTTTAAAAAAACTTCTGCTGGATGTCCCTTGACTGCCCTCCATTTTATCCCGAGACACTGAAGGGAAGCCAGTGAAGACAGGAGGGGAAGAAATCTCAGAACTAGCAGGTCTGTGTGAGGACCTGATCTGAGGTACCGGGTTTTTTTGTCCTTTTTAATTCCACGTTTTGGTGCTGTCTGGAAGTGCCCCAAATTGTATGTATTTCTATGCACCCTCAAGTCACTTGCCAATTTAACCCTGAATTTCATGGGATTTTCTTAGACAAAGAGTACTCAGAGGTGGTTTTGCCAGTTCTTTCTTCTGAGATATAGTCAACAACATTTGATATTCGTTGGTGGACTCCCATCCAACTACTAGCTCCTGCTTAATTTCCAAGATCAGAGAGATTCTAGTGTTTAAATGAATTGATTATCCAGAATTTTAAAATACATTTGGACATGTATGCCAATAGGGAGAAGCCAAAATTCAAATAATAGTACGAATCCAAAATCTAGAACATTGCCATGCATTTTTATAAGGGATACTCAACCTGCATTTGGCTCATGAAAATTATCATATACTTCACAGAGGAATCTCATAAATCATTGGGGAATGAAAATAAGGGGTTTGTCCTGCCACACACTTGTTATGTCCAGGTTCACAGCTTAAAACCAGACTTCTGTCAATATAAAAAAGCTGGTGTAGTGTAGAGATTTGAGTCCTGAACCAAGACTTTCAAGGACCATGGTTTAAATTTCTGTTCAGCCAAGGAAACCCACTGGATGAATTTGAGCAAGTGATGCCACCTTAGCTACAGAGGAAGGCTATGGTAAACTCAATCTATGCATCTATATTGTTGTGGTTTTTGTAGTTAGGAGAGAAGCAAGTTTATAAAGTTATTTTCCAACAGTGCGAAGTCATGGATCAGTACAAAAATATCTAGCCAACAGACATGCCAAACCACCATGCTGCCTCGGCATCCTTCCCAGAAGCAAGACCATTTTTAGTTCCTTACATGAGCCAGCCTTGAAAACATATAATTAGCAGCCTCCTATATTGGTCTCTCACAGTCAAGAGATAGTAATCAAAATTCATCTATAAGCAAGTGCAACATGTATAAAATAATGTAGAAAGGCTGTGCTGCTATAACTTATATATGTAGAGGACGTTGGGTGCATCTACATAGTAAAATTAATGTAGTTTGACACCACTTTAACTGCTTTGGCTCAATGCAGTGGGATCATAGGAGTTATACATTTATAATCCCTTTAGCCTTCTCAGCCGAGGAATGCTAGTGCCTCATCAAACTATAGATCCCATGAATCCATATCATCGAGCCATTGAAGGTAAAGTGGAATCAAACTACACTATATTGGTAGTGCAGATGCACTCATAGGTAAAACATTTGGAATTCCTTCAGTACTATGGTAGAATCATTCCTCAGAGCTAAAAAGTCCTTGATGCTCGTTTCATTTTGTTTCTGAAATAACTAACCACGTTTTAAAAGAATCATGTTTCCAATTCATTAAGCTCTTTAGAAAGAATTTGCAATTACCTGCTGTCTTTTCATTTGTGGGTAGTAGTAGTAAGGATATCTGTAAAGAAAATGCCTATATCTGTTCTTCAACACCTGTCGGAAAAACAGGGGGAAACATTTTTAGCTGCGGAATTTAACAAGATACCAACATGTAAAGATTTTCTTTAAAAACCAGTCAAACATACTGCATTCTCTTCTGAATCATCTGCCTTAAATCTTCTGCGGAAGTTTTTTACCTACAAGGAAAGAGAGAGCTGATTAAGGTGCGTGCAATCTTCTTTCTGGAAATGCTTACTTTAGTTTTCAGACTTCAAGAAATGATAGCTGAAGTATGTATCATTCCTGAATAGGAGCACATGCATATTTCTGAAACACTTTTTTTATTCTGAATATTACTATGATGTATTATTTGACTTTTTATCTTGACTTTACTGGCACAACTTGGGGATCACAACCAGATACACTGAAGACATCTGCCCTTGTGCTTTGCTACTTTGCTGCTGAATACGCATGCTCAGTGTGGAATACATCTCACCACATGAAAACAGCGGATGTTGCTCTTAATGAGACATGCCACATTATCACAGGATGTCTACGCCCTACACCATTGGAGAAATTGCACTGTATAGCTGGCATTGTACTACCTGGCATCCACCAGGAAGTAGCAAGCAGTAATGAAAGGACCGGGGTAGTGACATTTCTGTCCCATCCTCTGTTTAGATATCAGCCAGCATGCCAATACCTTAAATCAAGAAACAGCTTTCCAAGATCTACAGAGATACTTGCAGGAACACCTCAGCAAGCAAGAGTCCAAAAGTGGCAGGCTAAAACCCAGCACATCAATCAGTGACTGAGACCGGATGAGAAACTTCCTCCTGGGTACACAGAAGAGTGGACAACCTTGAAGGCGCTAAACAGGCTGTGCTCTGGCACCACCAGATGCACAGACAATCTTAAGAAATGGGGCTATGAAGTGGAGTCCACGACATGCGAGTGCAGAGAAGAACAGATCACAGACCATTTACTACAATGCAACATGCACAACGGATGACCTTCTCACAGCAAAGAAGCTGGCCGCTCCAAGTGGCCATCTTCTGGTCAAAGGATGTTTAGTATAATGTGTTTCTTATGCATTTTAAATGTAACCTCAACTTGCTTCTGACACAATAAATAAATAATCCGAGAATGTCCCTAATGTTATATTTAGCCTCCCAACAGGCCCGTAGCCAGGATTTCGCTTCGGGGGGGGGGGGGGGGGCTAAAAAAATTTCAGGGGGGGTTTCGGGGGGGGGCTGAGTTTCGGGGGGGGGCTGAGTCTGAGTGAAAGAGGGTCTAGCCTAGCAAACCTTTTGTATCATTACCCCAATACCCCCATACATATGGGATATATTGAGAATGGTGATCAAATCATGATATTAATAAACATAACAGTTTAAATAATGCACCAGTAAGGCCTTTTCGCGAACCACCATGAGAATTTTGGGGGGGGGGGGCTCGAGCCCCCCCCCTGGCTACATGCCTGGCCTGGGGGAGTTCCATATGGTTTGTTCATCGTGGGCGGGTGGAGATGGGCGAAATACCAGTAAGGCCTTTTCGGGGCGAGCCACCATGAGAATTTCGGGGGGGGGGGGCTGAAGCCCCCTGAGGCCCCCCCCCCCCCCCCCCCCCCCCCCCCGGCTACATGCCTGCCTCCCAATAACTGCAACAAAACCATGTAAAAAGCATCACAGTGACATCTAGTGACATAATAGAATATTGGCTTTATAGTGCAGCAAGGTCGTATGAAGGGAGAAAATAAACTACTGCAAAAAATGAGAGAGTTTATAATAGAAAGACTTGTTTATTATTGGTTGAGACTCTTGGATCCACATGGAGCCTCTCTAGTCAAAAGCGTCCCCATCTGCAGTGCCATATAATGCAGTTTAAAATGGTAAGAGCTGTTCGGCAATGGAATATGCTGCCTGGGAGTGTGTGGAGTTTCTTTCTCTACAGGTTTTTAAGCAGAGGCTGGATGGCCAACTATCATGAGTGCTTTGACTGTGTTTTCCTGCATGCCATGGGGTTGGACTGAATGGTCCTTGTGGTCTCTTCCAATTCTATGAGTCTACATTTCAAACTAGGGAAGAGAAGGGGCTCAAGGAAGCTGGGCAGTCAATTTGACCAATAGTAAAGGTAAAGGTTTCCCCTGACATTAAGTCTAGTTGTGTCTGACTCTGGGGGATGGTGCTCATCTTCATTTCTAGGCTGACGAGCTGGCACTGTCCATAGACTTCTCCAAGGTCATGTGGCCAGCATGACTGTAAGGAGCATTGTTACCTTCACACAGAAGTGATATCTGAAGTGGCTTCTGCCAACCTAACAGTTCAAAGGCATACAATGCGAGTAGATCAATACATACCGCCTCGGCGGGAAGGTAAAAAGGAAGCCTATGCAGACATGCTGGCAAGCACAATCAGAAATGTCTACAAACAACAGGCTCTTCGGCATGGAAAAATGGAACAACAGCACCTCCCCATGGCAGAAGTTGAACCTTGCCTCCAGATGCCAGAGATGAAAGGGGAAAACGTTTACCTTTGTCTGTGTATTGTATGTCATTGTTGTTCACTGTGTAAAAGGCATTGAAGGCATTATATCTATCTGCTCCCTCAGGGGAGATAGAGCAGAATATAAATAAAGTGTGTTATTATATAAACCCATGCTAAATGTGTGTCATAAAAATGATAAAAAGGAGAAGGAGAACATCTTGGTCAACTGCACATACTTTGGATGCATAATGACACATTTCTCAATTCAAAAGGATCGTAGGGCTGGAAAGCCGCTAATGTGCTGACTAATTTCAGTGGCTTAATCTGGATGGCATTGAGTTGTAGGTAGAAAAGGAAAATTCACACAGGTCAAGATTAATCAGTGTTCATGTTGACTGGGGGACTCTGAGAGTTCCTGTATTCTGGCATAAGTGACGGCTAAAAAAGTCAAAGGCATTTTTCTATCTTGAGTTTCCCCACCCACAAGAAATAGCTGTCATGGTCTTCTTGCTTGAATATTAAGTAAATATCTCCAGGCATCTCCAGTAGGATCCTACTTAAAAGAATGTCATATCTCAGGAAGATAGGATAGCCTATAAATAACAACAACAACAACAACAACAACAACAACTGTTATTATATTTTCACTCCATCCAGAACAGTTATGGTTTTGGATGGGGTGGGATGGGGAGCTGAAACATATCTCTCAGGAGGGAATAACTGGGGTCCTCCTGCTCACCCCTAACAGTATCACTTGTGTATCATCCTAATCATGGGTGCATTTACATTGGAGAATTAATGCAATTTGACAGCACTTTTACTGCTGTCTCAATGACTCAATGCTATTGAATCGTGGGAGTATTAGTTTGATGAGGCACCAACACTCTTTGGCAGAGAAGGCTAAAGACCTTACTAAACAACTCCTATGATTCCATAGCATGGAATCATGGCAGTGAAACTGGTGTCAAATTGCATCACTTCTACAATGTAGACGCACCCTACGTGACCGATGCTAGACAGAGATGTGCTGCCAATATGTATAGTGTCCTCTTTTAGCATCTCAACTTCCCACAACCTGGCAGAGTCAACTGGCAGCAAAATTCAACTGCTGGATATAAAACAGAATAAAAGGTTGGGAACATTTACAAACAGCTGCTTTTCCTTTGGGTATAAGATGGAGCTATTTTAGTTCTGAGTAACAACCACCCCTAGAGCAGTGGTTCTCAACCTGGGGTCCCCAGATGTTTTTGGCCTACAACTCTGAGAAATCCCAGCCAGTTTACCAGCTGTTAGGATTTCTGGGAGTTGAAGGCCAATAACATAATGGGAACCCCTGGTTGAGAACCACTGCCCTAGAGTGACTACTGTCCTACTTTAAAGAAGTGACATGCAGCTATAAGAACAAAGTAAACCTCAATTAATAGTGATCCAATAGTTAATTATTACAATATACAAAAACAACAATAACAAATCCCCCAAACTGACCATACTATGCATCTAAACAGCAGGGCTGTCTACTAACATACGTAAATGCTCACAGTACACACTATGTAGAGAATTGTTGCTTTTACTCACTGAGAAAGCACATGCTATCCCCAGAAGACAGAGGAAAATAAGAGCTGTCCTCATTTTTCTGATTTCTGGAAAAGAAAAACAAACAAACAAACAGAATATTCACTTGGGACATGATCCAGGCAGGAAGGCAGGTATTCATACAATGACAGGCCTTTTCACAACCTTCTGCATATATAAACACAGCTTGTTTCATTTCCTTGTTCAAAGTCTCCAGGTCTCTGTGGTCAAATACCACATAACTATAAGCAGACAAACATTTTGGTCTTTCAGAAGGCCAAGCAAGTTCCTTTCCCAGCAAAAAGTAGGGGGTTATCAGCAGTTTCATTTGGCCACAGAACTATATGTTGGAAGTATACAGAAGTTGAGCAGAAGGTCAAGAAACCAATGGAAATGGAAGGAAAGACAATAAACCGCAATGAGTCGCCGCACTGGCTGAGATATTGGCGGTATACAAGCGCACCAAATAAATAAATAAATAAATAAATAAATAAATAAATTGTTCCCAATTTAGGCTTCACCACTAGCCCTTTTTTTTGTCCACATTGAATATGGATAAAGGAGCATGGGTATGTAGGATGAGAATAAGTGCTCTAAATCTCCCTTTCCTTCCCCCAGTTACAATACAACACCCATGTGTTTAAGAATGATCACTAGTTTGAAAGGAACAGGGGGTGCTTTCAAAGTGGGCAAGGCCATAGAGTGACCCAGTTAGCCTTCCTATCCTCTGGTGCTTTGCTTAAAAAGAAGCCTTTCTTATAAGATGAGCATTTGAGAGAAGAGGGGAAGCGTCTGGGATAGACTAAAAGTTGAATAGAAAAAGATCCTACTGGTTGGGTCCAATTCATGGGGAAACCCTAAAAGAGCTACTGGTCATACTGAGTTCAGACAAAGAGCTAGAGAGGTGAGGAGATGTAGTTGGCAGTGGTCAACAGTGGATTTTTTTTATTGTGCATGTCTTTTATTTAGGGCTTTAAGATTTATCTCCAAAGTTGCTTAGAGAATATACAGAAAAATTCTACAATCAGATCTTGTGCTGACACTTCATTGGATGTATGGAACTTCTGGGACACTGGGTATGACTGATTTAATGCACATCGAAATATGACTTAAAATAGTGTGCAAGGGGATCTGGTGGCACCTTTGAAACTGAGAAAAAGAAGATATAACTTATGCTGTAAACAGTATTTCATCTGCATCCTTAGTTGCTTTGAAGTAGACTTAAGTCTATGAAAGTTTATGCCACAGTTTCTTTCTTTCAGTCTTAAAGGTGCAACAAGATCTCTTTGCATACTGATATTCCAGACTAACAGAGTTATATCTTTGAATGGCTTAAATTGTGACTGCTTTTACAATATTCTTTTAGGATTGGCTATCATGCTTGAATGACAGCTGACAGCAGTAAAGTTGGGAGAGGGGAAAAATACATTTCAGATGGGAGGGAGACCTCTCTGATGGTTTGAGAATGCCACTGATGGTTTTAGGACCCATTGGCATGAGCGCTTCCACAATTGCTGTCCTAGCTCCCATGCCTGAGAATGAGCTTTCTTCTTATTTATTGCTTTTTTCTTTTCCTAGAAGAGTAGGGCATGGGCAGTGATGGTACTCCTCTGATGAATGGGTACTGAAAGTCCCTACAACAGTGCTGTTATAATGCTCCAGAGTACTGTGGACAACCAATGGCTGCTTCCCAGCATTTATTGGGCAAGGTCATGTGGCATGCTTCAGTCACTGCTAAGGCATATTGGCTCCCAATGCCAGGCGTGCATGTCCCTCACCATTTCACAGATAGATACCAGGAGATGTGTGGCAAAAATTATTATAATAAAATAGTGCACAAGCTTGGAGGTGCTGCATCATTTTACTTTTGAAGGAATGGGAAGAACAAGGGTCCACCCCCTTCTTTTCGCTTTGCTCTGCTGAGTTGATAGAGTGCAAGTTCTTGTGCACTTATGATGCATCAATAGAACTGAGCTGAAGAGGAAAGGAGAAATGGGAGAAGGAAAAAGAACTGGAACATAAACAGCTGAAAAAGTGAGATAGTAGAGAATTAACTAGGACTGTCCCTGACAAATCTGGACAATTGGAGGGTATGAACTTGTAATGTGATGCTGCAGTCATCCTATTGATATATAAGGAGGATACAGGCCTATTTCTGTCATTACAGGCCCCCCTCTCTTGGGATGCATCTACACCACGCATAGAAAACTTCAGCCCTCCAGGTGGTTTGGACTTCAACTCCCACAATTCCTAACAGCCTACTGGCTGTTAGGAATTGTGGAAGTTGGAGTCCAAAACACCTGGAGGGCCGAAGTTTACCCATACCTGATCTGCACTGTAGAATGAAGGGAGTTTAATATCTTAACTGTATGCTCCAGCACCTTTTGGTCGAGGAGACTAAAGACCTTGTAAAACTACAACTCCCATGATTCCTTTACATTGGAATCATGGCAGTTAAAGTGGTGTCAAGCTTTACTACCATTCATGACCAGCACAGAGTGGAGCACAATTGCCCTGGGCCTTTTGGCTAAGATCATTCATTTTGCAGTGTAGATGTACCCTTGGTCAGGTTTCAGCAAGACCAGCACATTGTCTGCTTTTATACATCTGATAATGCCAAAGTGAAGTTCCATTTTTCTCTGAGTCAGAAGAAACCTAAACAAAATGCCAAAAAATGGTAGTGGTTATCAAGGTGAAATCAATGAGGCTTACTTTTATTTTATTTTATTTGCAGGATGGCTGCCAAACTTTCCCTTAAACTCATAAACAAATCCTTGTTCTTGAACATTCACAACCATGTGGAACATAATAAGCACTTCTTCTTTGAGTACCACATCACACCAAACTATTTGGTGTGGGAGTTTTGGGGTTTCTTGAATTTGGCAGCAAGCATAACAGTGAGGCTGCCCCGAAGCAGCTGTACTGATTTTATCTGGACAGGGTATAATTCAAAGTTAATTCAGTGTGGTCAGTGACCTAGGTCTGCAAGCCTCAAACCTCAGAACAGTAGCTGAAGTGAGCCCACATCCAAACATTAGGAAGGCTGACAGGAGATGACAACTTGATCTCATCAGCAGGTAGAATGAGCCCATTTAACTAACCAGCAAGCCATTCCTCATCCACAGGTATGTCCTGACCTTCAGACTAAGGATGCATCTACACTGTAGAATGAATGCAGTTTGACACCACTTCAATGCTATGGGATCATGGAATATGTAGTTTGTTGAAGCATCCAGCACTCTTTCTCAGGGAAGGCTAAAGACTTTGAGACCCACGACTCCCATGATTCCATAGCATTGAACTATGGCAGTTAATGTGGTGTCAAACTGTGTTGATCCTACAGTGCAGATTCATCCTGATGTAATTAATGACCAGCACCCTGTCTCTACTAGAGTAGATGTATTAAAACAGTTGTTGAATGACGAGTCAACACATAGTTCAGTGGTTCTCAACCTGTGGGTCCCCAGATGTTTTGGCCTTCAACTCCCAGAAATCCTAACAGCTGGTAAACTGGCTGGGATTTCTGGGACTTGTGGACCAAAACACCTGGGGACCCACAGGTTGAGAACCACTGACATTGATGAATCCACTTGATTCATTGGGTCAGGGTTAGCAATAGTATTTAGGCCACAGCCTTGCCTAAGGCAATTAAATATATTCATGGCCGACATCTGAACATTTTAAGGAACCTTTAGGAAAAGTATGGGTAATACCTAGACCAAATCTAGAATATCTCACTGTTGGCCATATTTACTAGAGCTAATGAGAGGTGCTGATTAACAAAACCCAAAAGGGCACATATTGACTAATCTTGCTTTTGAAGAAATAGTGCATACCAATCTGAGCCCTGTCTCCAACATTACAGACAATAACAATCACTTACCCGACGGGGTTGTTGCAAAGATTACTAGGGCCCCTTCCACACAGCTGAATAAAAGCCCACATTTTCTGCTTTGAACTGGAATATATGGCAGATAACCCAGTTCAAAGCAGATATTATGGGATTTTCTGCCTTGATATTCTGTGTGGAAGAGCCCTAAGTGTGCAGGCACATTGTAGAATTAATGCAGTTTGACCCAAGGTTATTGAACCCTAGGAATTATAGCTTGGTGAGGCTCCAGCCTACTTTGGTAAAGAAGGCCAAAGACCTTATAAAACTACAATTCCCGTGATTCCATAGCATTGAACCATAGCAATTAAAATTATACCAAATTGCATTGATTCTGCAGTGTAGATGCACCCTAAGATAACACACATGGAGTGCTCAAACATACAGAAAATACTAAATGAATGCTAAAAGTTGTTACTGGCTTTATTAGTGCCATTTTTATCATATACAATTAGGAAACAAACACAATAATTGTGGATTGCCCATTGTCCAATGCTACAGATAATACCATAATGTAAAACCCAGTCAAGAATGGTTGAAGCAAGATCACCAAGAAATATTTTCTTCAAGTTTGTACAAGTCCCATTTTATTATTTTTAGTTAAAGGGGGATAAAAACAGCCATGGTAGTGCTTCCTTGCAAAGCACTCTGATTGAAGTAATAGAAGTCATGAGAAGTTCACATTTATGAATTGAAACATATATTACACCAAAGCGAAATTGGAATATCAGAAATCCATGGGCTAAAAGCAAAGTGAAAATGTTATTTTTTGCATAGAGCCAAATGCAGTTGGTAGGGACTTACCAGCTTGCAGTCCTTGTCGTCCTGAAGTGTTCAGGCTGGTCTCAAAGGACTCAGGGGACAGAGATTTAACAGTTCATCTGTTTGTTCTTGGTCATCCTACCGGGATATAAGCACTATTTTTACTCCTCACCAGCCAATCACAGCTTCCCAAGCATGATGTCAGCATATGGACTCTTCCCAGAAAATCTCCAAACTTCAACATTTTTCTAGTCCCAGATTTTTTTTTTGTTTATAAACATAAAGTGCCATTTTAGTGCCCAGAGTTTGGGATCATTCCGCTTAATTGAAGGGTTGAGTCAGAGATGAATAGGTTTGGATGCTGAGCTATATAATAATGATCTCGATTTAAACTGAACTAAATATTGGAAGATATTAAAAAATGTTCTCTTTTGTGGAAGGAAGGTAGAATTGTGACAGGGGAAAGAACGACTTTCTCACTTTTCTCCTGTTAAACAGTGTGCAAACAAATGAGGTGTCTGAGGTGTAACTCATATAAAGGTGAACTGGAGCAGACTCCGGTGTTGAAAGGGTCACTTTTTACTTCATATTTGTTTTCCTACATGGAGTTGCTTCAGATGTGATTTTCTAACATGGTAGTTAATAGGATATTTAGCATTTACACTGCTGACTTTGTTTTAAATATGGGAAGCATATATATGAAATGAATTTAACAGTTATCACGTAGTCCATTTCAGTGACTTAGGCAAAGCACTAAGTGTTGTCTGTTTCCTCACACAACCTGGGGTACATGAAACAGAGGTCCCTTCCACATGGCCCTATATCCCAGGATCTAATCCCAGATTATCTGCTTTGAACTGAATTATATGAGTCTCTACTACCAGATAATCTGGGATAACAGATAATTTGGGATTGGATCCTGGGGTATAGTGGGAGTGTGGAAGGGGACAGAGGTTTCAGTTTCAGTTGGATAGTAAAGTCACTCTGATTTTTAATCTGAACTTTCAGAGTATTCCAATGCCACCCCCCCCCCCCAAAACTGGTTCAGCACCTTGGATTTCTTTCTCATTGCAGCCATGCCAACTTCATCCATTGAATAGTAGTAGTAGTAGTAATAATAATAATAATAATAATAATAATAATAATAATAATAATCTCTATATATAAAATGCTCTGTGCGTAACAAGTACCTTAAAAACAAAAGAACCAATGAACGAAATCACACCAAATCTAGCAACAAAATGTCTCACAACACAAGGAGTGACCATCACTCAAAAAAATATGATTTTGTCAATTGGAAGTTGTAGTTGCTGGGATTTATAGTTCACTTACAATCAGAGAGCATTCTGAACTCCATCAACGATAGAATTGAACCAAACTTGGCACGCAGAACTCCCATGACCAATAGAAAATAGTGGAAGGGCTTGGTGCGCATTGACCTTGAGTTTGGGAGTTGTAGTTCACCTACATCCAGAGAGCATTATGGACTCAAACAATGATGGATCTGGACCAAACTCGGCACAAGCACTCAATATGCCCAAATATGAACACAAATGGAGTTTGGGGGAAATAGACCTTGACATTTGGGAGTTGTAGTCATTGGGATTCACAGTTCACCTACAATCAAAGAGCATTCTGAACACCACGAACAACAGAATCGGGGCCAAGTTCCCACACACAACCCCCATGACCAACAGAAAATACTTAAGGCCATCAAATCCAACTCCCTTCATCAGGGCAAGAAAATGTATTCAAAGTCCTCCTGACAAAGAGCCATCCAGCCATAGATATAGATAGATAGATAGATAGATAGATAGATAGATAGATAGATAGATAGATAGATAGATAGATAGGGAGTTGTAGTTGCTGGGATTTATAGTTCACCTACAATCAAATAGCATGATAGAATTGAACCAACCGGGGCATACAGGACTCCCATGACCAACAGAAAACACTAGAAGGGTTTGGTGAGCATTGACCTTGATTTTGGGAGTTGTAGTTCACCTACATCCAGAGACTACCGTGGACTCAAACAACGATGGATCTGGACCAAACTTGGCAAAAATATTCCATATGCCCAAATATGAATACAGGAGGAGTTTGGGGGAAATAGACCTTGACATTTGGGAGTTGTAGTTACTGGAATTTATAGTTCACCTACAATCAAAGAGCGTTCTGAACCCCACCAACAACAGAATTGGGCCAAACTTCCCACACAGAACCCCCATGACCAACAGAAAATACTCAAGGACATCAAGTCCAACTCCTTTCACCAGGGCAAGAAAACGTAATTAAAGCCCTCTTGGCAAAGAGCCATCCAGCCATATATAGATAGATAGATATAATTCACACACCGATATAGTGTCATAGATTTGAAAGGGACCCCTGAAGAAGGACAATTATATGTTGCATGTCCAGAGTAGGCAAACCAGACACTCTCCATATCAACACTGATAAAGAAACAGCAAGAAATACTGTTTACCCACAAGCATAATGAAATTACATAGATTAGAAATAACACTTTCTCATTACTTTATCTTCCAGATCAACAGACTGGGTCACAGCAACGCGTGGCAGGGGACAGCTACTAATAATATAAAACTTTATTTCTAGACCCCACCTCTCTCCCAAAAAGGACTCAGGGTAGTTTATAACACAAAAACCGGCAAACATTCAATGCCTTACAAAGTAACAAACAACATCAGGAATAATACAAAATAATGCACAATAATAACAGTAAACTTATCATGAAAGAATTAAATGTTGAAATGGAGACTAGGTAGCAATAAACCAATTAGAAAATAAACAAGGACATGTGTAAACATTAAATATATACCATCAAAAGCAGTTAGATATGAATTGCATTTGAAATGGCTAACACAGGTGTTTATTAAAAACTAGCTGTCCCCTGTCATGCATTGCTGTGGCCCAGTCTGTGTATATGTGTTTTCTGTGTGTATATATATGTGTATATATGTGTATATATGTGTATATATTTGTGTGTATGTGTATATATGTGGTTATGTGCATGTGTTGCAATGCATTTTCTTATTTTTTGCTTTGCTTTTTAAGTATCTTCTGCTGTGTTTTCCAGTGTTTTTTATTTCTTTAGGGAGGGAGCTCCAGAGACAGGGAGCGATCACAGAGAAGGCTCCCTCTCTCATTCCCACCAGCCAAGCTTGAGACAGGGGTGGAACCGAGAGCAGGGCATCTGCTGACTGCAGTGCATGAGATGTCCTATATAGAGAGATGCAATTGGACTAATAGCCTGGACCCAAACCGTTTATGAGAAACTTGCACATTCTCTGGTCATCAACTGTCCTGTGCAGCTCTTCCAAACTCTGTGTCATAATTTCCTTGCTCGAATCAATCCACCTATTGTCCTACTATTCCTATTGTCATGACTATCTTTTCTAAAGACTGAGGCTGTTTCGTGCATGTTTAAAGTACAACTTCCGTTTAGTAATTTTCACTTCTACTGAGAGTTCAGCCTTGATTTGCCCCAAGACCCATTCATTTTTCCCACATTTAGTGGTCTGTGAGATCCATAGCATTCTTCTCTAGCACCACATTCCAAATGTTTCGATTTCTTCCTTTCAGCTAGCTTACACTGTATAATGAATGCAGTTTGACACCACTTTTAACTGCCATGCCTCAATGCTATGGAATCAAAGGAGTTGTAGTTTTGCATGGTCCTTAACTTTCTCTAGCAAAGAGTGCTCGTGCCTCACCAAACTACAAACTACAGAGTTAAGAGTGGCACCCACTCTTAGGAATTGTTGGGGTTGAAGTCCAAACAACTGGAGGACCGAAGTTTGCCCATGCCTTGTCTAGATAGACATACTGTTCTTAATTCAGCACTGGTGATAGGACAGCATCTATGACTGCACCATCCTCTCCATCATTTGATAGCAGAAGTATTTGCCCCATTGTGTCTAATATAATAGGGCTAAAAGGTGATGTCAAAATGTTAACAAAATTCTGATACAATCTTACACATTAAGAACAAAGAAAATAGATATCATTTGGGAGCACTACAGACTTTGGAGGTCAGTGTGGCATTCCTTATCCAAATGAGCATATTGGCCATTGCACAATCCAGAGTCAGCAAAATATAATTTAATTCCACGCAACAATGCATGGTAAAAGAACCTCTGAGAATAAAGGATGCTAAATATTTTATGCACATGGATGAAGCACCGAATTAAATTAGCAAATCAGATGAGAGATACTAAATTGGGTTTTTGGTCAAGACAGTGGAGTTAATAACTCTGATCTTGAAGAATTGCATTTGGAAGCCAGCAATGAAGACTGTGGATTGTTGGCTGAAGCCATGTCCTTCCAACACAATTCTAGGTTTGGTGACCGATTGCTGACTCAGATGAAAAATGACCACCTAAGTTCAGGACAACCATTAAGTTCCTTGGTGGTCTGACACTTGGCTGGACTACCAAAGAAAGCCAGTTGGCTCATGTGAGACAGGGATTTTGGGTGGGCGTTTGTTACTGTAATTGGCCTGGAGACTGTTTGGAATATATACGTAGTAACTTGAACAGAATCATGTGGCCACTTTGGAAAGAACAATATAAAATGTGTAATTCTAGTATATAAACAAGAGAATTGCAAACCTCAGAGTCAAGAATGGTACCTGTTTGTAAAATCCAGATGTCAAGGTTGATTTCTGCCAAAACAATCCCAGTAGACTCTTGTTACATTTTTTATAGAAAGCTCACAATGATGGAAAGTAATTGTAAGCTATCCTGGAAATAGAAATAAAAATCTCTCTCTTTCTCCTGGGATGTAGTGCCTGGTTGAAAAATAAAAGGAGATCTTCATTAACTAATCATTACTAAAAGTCAGTCTTGGGTGTTCTGATTTGAAAATGAATACAAATCTGGAGAATGCCCCAAAAGTCCATTTCTGCAAGGACTAGATCAAATACCACATATATATATTCCATATTTGTCCCAACTATTGTCATTTGATGTGATTTTTTAAATGAATTGTTTTTAAAATTTTCAAAGTAGAGCAAAATCTGAGACAAATTCTCATGGGTGCCATTGGAGGTTTGAGGTTTACACTGATATGATGTTTCCTCTGTTGGTAAAGTTTCCTCAGCTTCCCACATCATA